TTCGGGGCAGTTGGAACAAGCTTCAATCGCTGTGGCCATTCGGCTGTTTCCTCCTTCACTTTTTATAATCTATAATTGTTCACTGTATTGTTCATAGTTGGGTATAATTTAAAATATTTTAAATAAAATTTTCCTCCTTGGATAGTGGTCAGGTGACATTTACTCACTGACATTATCGTAACTTCGAAGTTATATTACCTATTTACTTTTGTCTACAACTAATATTAAAACAGGCAGATCAAATAATACTAATGATTAATGTCATTTTAATATGCACCTTTCTTGAAAAGTGATTTTAATTTCAAATATTATTGTTTTTTTTTGTACTGAGACCTTGAGTAAGTATTTGACAAACTTGTTTTTCGATTCAACTTTAAAACTTGTTTAACACCAACCAAACATTACGTAGTCTTAAAGGTAAATAATAAAGGTAAGTTCTCGATTAATTTTATACATTTTCACCTTAAATATTCGAAGATTTATACCTGGATAATATATTATATGCAATTATTTAATTAATTTCGATAATTTCAATATGATTAAAATTTATTTTGATTTGGTACGATAAGATACAGTATCCCAAGACATGAATGCTGGATGCCCCAAAAAACATTCCATGCAAAACTAGATTTTATTTAGGTATTAAGCTGTGTACACACAGACACTTCTTGCGTCACGTTACGTATCTCGTTACGGAGATACGTAGCGTGACACAAGAAGTGTTCGATTCTGACGGTGTAACTATGTTTGCACCGTCACAATCGAACGTGGCCGTCATCAAATTAGAAGTGTGCTAAAAAAATGAACGAGTGAATAGATCTGATTATGAATGAACACATAAACAGTCTCAAGCTTTGTGTGTAATAATCACACATTTAATTTATTAAAGATAGATTTATATTATCGTGCCAGACACTACGCTTACGGCTGACGATCAGTTACGTACGCTCTCACTATCAGGTAATGCGTGGTAAAGCAATAGAATTACGTAACACTATGAAAAAAATTAACGTGTATAGTCAGCACAGTAGCTATTTTTATATAAAAAAAACTTAAACTGACGTAAGGCTGCTTAAAAAAACACAACATTCAGCATATTTTTAAAAAGAATTTAAATAATTTCAACACAATGGAAATTAAATACACGCAGTAGAATTATAAGGAAAACTTGCAAAATAAGAAAAATATAAAATAATCACCGGAGAAAAGCAATTTTAAAGATAAATAATAAATGCAATTTTAACTATGAATAATTTTTTCTTTCGGAATTAATGACTAATCGGTGTTGTAAAAAATAATATCGGTTTTACTTTAAAAAGTGATGAAAATGCCATAAAATGAAAATATGACAATTTGAATGACACGTAATATGAAAAAAGTCACAATATAAAATGACGTAAATAAAAAAGTGACAACAAGAAATAGCCTAAAATAAACAATTGACTTTTATTTCGTATAAAATGTCATTTATTAAATAACATTTCTTTCCTATTGACTAAAAAATGGCGCATTTTCTGTGTTATATACCGAAAACATTGTTACTATTCATTCGTTTTAAGCATGAATTTATTTAATAAATGAAGGTCACATAATATGAAACTTTCTTTAACGAATGTGGTCATTATTTAAGTAAAACGTTATATAAGTACTGTAAGAATAGACAATAGATGAGTTCGTGTTCCGAATATTAAATACATTACAAAATTGTACAATCAAAAAGTAATTGAAAGTACATGTTTTATTTGGAATTTTTTTATATACAATAAGTTTTAAATTAATTAATTTAATACAAAATTTATTCTGCAATAAACTAAGACAGTGGCGTTTTTTTACACTATAACTAACGAAACTGGCTTTGAAAGACTGCGCGGTTTTCTTAACGATACGAGATGCATATCAGCAAACCTGTTACTCCACATCCTTGAAGGATACAGATAAACATATTCGTCTGAATATAGATTAGTTATTCTCTAAGCTATAACGTAAAACAGGTTATTTCCTTTTAACAAATAGTGATGCATTTAAAGATAAAAGGACCTAGTGAGTTTCCAAGCTGCAACTTATTTAGGAGTCATCTATGTGGAGTTAATATGCCAGATTGCCGATATCTGGCGCTCGAGTCGTTATGTAGGCTCAAAGGAGTTTCATTATTTATTTGTTTACTAGATAATTTTTCTATTTTCAAGCATTTTTATAACTTTTTATTACCAGAAAAAAAACAGCAGAGTGCTGAATAATTGTTTTGTGTCTGGGTGTAGGTCTTGCTACTGTAAATCCGGTGAGAAGTGCATTATTTTTACACAACTTCACGTGTATCTGCTTAACGAATAGGTGCGTTTGCATTTTTCTTTACTTATTTCATTGTATATCTATTTAAAAAAAACCATAGCTTATCCTGTAATGNAAGTAGTTCGGCTGCTCATCCACTATTGGTCCAGACTCTATCAATCTTGTTGCGAAACGACGTTATAGGAGGTACTTTATACGAAAGTTTCTACAATTTTTTCGCTACGTTACAGGAATTGTCGTTATAGGAACGTACGTTATAGGGGGGTCGACTGTACTTTTGTTATCCTTATAAAAATTGCATATATTGCAAGTAATTAACGAATATTTTTACATTTATAGGTTTAATGAGAATAATAACAGTTGGATTTTCAAGTAGAAGACAATCCAATTTAAATACCGAAAAGTGGAATTTTTACAGAGACGAATTAGGTAGAATACTGAGCTACAGAATAACAAAATTTATTGTTATTATCGGTTTTATTATATTTATATCGTTCGGAATATATTTCACGAAGTACATAAAATACGATTTAATATATTCTAACTTATTTCATCAAAATTCTTATGCTATCAATTTTGTCGACGATAATTTCAAGTACTTTTCTCAATACAGAGATAGAATACAAGTTGTTATCAATGCACCGGTAGACTATTCGAATCCAAAAGTACAACAGCAAATTGAAAATTTGATAGTTGATTTAGAAAATGTTCCCGGTATGAGTCGATATAACCTGACTGAATCATGGTTAAGAGTTTTTATAAAATCTGCTAAAAATCCGTTTTCTTGGATCTTGTTAAGGGAATACAATATGAGCCATCCTGAGCACTTCGTGAAAGCTATCCATGATGTATTCTTCAAATTCAACTTCGCTAAACGTTTCAAGAACGATATTGTATTCGATAAAGACAAGAAAACAATCATTTCTTCTAGATTTTTTGTAAATTCTAAGACGATCGATAGTTTCGCTAAACAAATTGAACTTCTTAATCATTTACATGATGTGATCGATTCATCTGGTTTGAATGTGATTATTTACTGTTACGAATTCTTAGCTGTTGATTCATTTGTAAACATTCTCCCATACATAATTCAATGTGTTTTTGCGAGTTGCCTGATAGTAATAGTAATATTTTTCTTATTTATTCCAAACTTGCACTGTGTAATTTGCGTTAGCTTCAGTGTTGCGTCAGTTGTCACATCGACAATTACCTACGCTTCTGCCTGGGGAGTAACTATTAATGCACCTCTTTTGCTTACGTTAACTCTTCTTGCAGGATTTTCTGTTGACTACGTATCTCATATATCATGCGCTTTTGTATGTAGTAAAGCGGATACACCGGAAGAGAAAATGAAACATGCCTTACAAATTGCTGGTCATCCTATTATTCAAGCTACAGGTTCGACAATTTTAGGAATTTCGTCTGCACTTATTAGTCCTCATCGTATATTTCACGACATTTTTAAGATTGTGTTTTTGACAGCACTATTTGCTTCATTTCATGCACTATTTTTATTACCTGTTCTGCTTAACATTTGGGATAATATTGTTTTAATTATCAGAAAGAAGAAAAATAGTAGAGAAGAACAGCAACTGTCTAACACATCAAATGTAATATCACAGTTGTTAAACAACACAGATCGAATTAGTAATAATATGTAATATAACTCAGATTGCTTTTACTTACTTATTCTGTCATCATTAAAATTTTAAAGGTATTTTTATTCTTTTATGTTTTTGTTACATTCTAGCGAATGATCCTTCTTAAAGTATTCCCTATTCAACAATTTTCAGAGCTATTTCACAGTCTGAATTAAACCGAATTTGGTATGATAATATTTCAGTGTACGTTGACAATTTTGTAAATAATAATTATCACCATGGTTGTCCTGTCTAGACTTTTGTTTTATTACTACGACTGATATTTAAAAAATTGTGACACTGGGCCCCTTGCTAGGAATCGAAGTTTGTTGATTATGTTTTTATACCTAAACTTATAATAATCATAAATTAAAATTGTGATTTGTGCTAACGTGTAGCGAATTTATGTGGATTTGCATGAGATAATGCAACATATACTATGTGCGATATTCTTCTGATGTATTCTATCCTGTATTTCAGAAGGCACTAACATATGTTTTACATGCCATCTTCAGAATCTTTAATGAAGAAAGATAATTGCAATTTTACAAATATTTCTCTTTTGTATTTCACTGCATTTTTAAACTTTCTGATTCAGATCCTTTTTTAACATAAGGGTGAATCATAGAAAATAATTTTACAATAACACATACAACTTGAATGTATTATTATAAATACAGTAAACCTCGTGTTTCCAACGTCTCGCTTTTCGAACAATTAGGTTTTACGAACGAGCTACTCAACACAGCCAGCCACAGATGGTGAAGTTCCTATATTTTCTATGTTGATTTAATGCTCGACCAATCAACGTCAGAACTACCGATTCAGAAGTTAGTGGCGATGAGATCGCTTAGTCTCATTAGAGGAATCAACGATGACGTTACTATTTTAATTATATTTCAATGCTCATACGGGAAAGATACTATTATCGTTTATCGGTTTGCGCTGCAGTTGAGTTTAAATTAACCACTTTATCACTGATTAAAAAAAACTGACGTTCAAACCCACGACGGATCTTGCTTTATATACCCCCACCAATGGGTAGTCAAACTCATACAAAAAAGGTTTCGAATGGTCCACAATCTTCCAGAACATTCCACAACAGTCGATAGTGTTCTGGAATGTTCCACAATGGTCAGGAATTGCCCGGTATGTTCCCGAACGTTCCAGAACATCCCGGAATAGGGTGCAATGTTGTGGAATGCTCTCGAATACGCTCGAATGTTCTGGACTATTCTAGAAATTTCTAGAGGGCGAAACTTCCAGTCCTCATATGTTCAACAGCACGCTCTTCAGGTAAAAACGGGAATCTTCTTCATGGATAAGGGATAGAGGGCTACCATACCATATAACTCCCTTGATCGTACCGGGACTCGTTTTTGAGCTTTAGCAACACGCACATTGTACACTTACCTTTATTATATATAAGGGAGATCGGGGCAAGATCGGCATGTTAAGCTTTACTTAAATTTTGTGTAATAAATACTGCTGTAAACTGAAAAAAANAAGCACCCATAGAAATTTAACTCAGATAAAATAATTTATTAATTTTAACAGTGCATAATATATAAAATTTTATTTGATTCAATAATGAAAAACAGTTTTGGGATGTCATACACCTTTGTATTTTTTACGTATTAAGTCTCAGTTCTTATGAAATACACATTGTGTCTACATATTTCAGAATTTTATATGATATTTTGCACCACTATAAGTAAAATATTAATACAGATTTATGGATCGCCTAATATCTTTATTTGTTAATATATAGGTCAACATATATATGTATTTTCTTTGCCTGTCATCTATGTGACAATGTCATATTTCTATTCTGCTGTCTGCAAGGCATATCTCTTCATTCGTAGACTACCTAGAAGGGCGGTAAAATCGCCCTTTTTATCGTACTTTTTGACCAATAGCAATCGTCGATTCAACTCTGCTGACAGGTTGTGTGGGGACTTACAGAAGGGTAAATAATCAGATCTTTTCACAAACAGAAAAAATAAACTCTTGGGGAAAAAAGTTGATTTCCTTCATTCTCGTAAAAAGTGTCGAATGTCTTTCTTTTTAGTAAACAATTAGGAAAAAAATAACTAAATATATTTCCCACGCTAATTATGATAAAATCTCGTATCTCACAATCGTAAGTTCAGAAAGATTATTAAGGATAGCTAAATGACAATGGATTAGGCCAGGCATTCTAAACCTCGATAAAACCCTATGGTGTTTACAACACACTGCGAATTCTTTCCAGTACCTCTACAGTGGTAGTATGACATAGTAATTATTCAGCCATTCGAAAATGTAAATAATTTTTAGAATTTCTATTGATGCAAACTGTTTATAATTAGATTAATTTAACAATAAATCAATATTGCTTATAAAATAATGATACCGTTTTTTACAGATCTAATTTTCGGATAATTTACCATTAATTAAAGCATCACTTTCCATTATGGCTATATGTAAGAGTAGAAATTGCAATGTTATCTATGTCAAATTATCGGAAATTTTCCGTCGTTTTGGGTATCGAGTCGCAAAATATCCGTTATGGTTCATATTTGTGCCTATCTTCGTTACAATCATCTCAACAGCTGGCTTTTTTCGTTTGAAATTAACTACAAATGTCCATTATTTGTTCTTTAATTCTGACAGTAGAATCGTGCAGGCAAAATCCGTAATCGACAATTTGTATCCAGAAAATTACACAAATTATGATATTCTACGATCAACCGAATTTGAAAAATATGGAGCTGTAATTGCAACTGCAAAAAGTGGACAATCTATGTTTTTAAACAGTACTTTTGAAGAATTAGATGTCTTAGATCAAGAAATACGCAATATGACAATACAGTGGAATGGTAGAAGTTTAAAATTCGCTGATATTTGTTGTAAATTCGACGGACAATGTATTCAAAATGATATATTGAAGATGAAGAGCAGAATAGTGGATTTCAAAAAAGGAAATTTCAAAATAAGGTATGAATTAATTATGTAATTCAATTCAGTTATAAGATTACTGTATTCAAATAAGCGGGAGCGTTGTACAATAAATATCTTTCTTAATAAAAATATTATGTTGAAGAAAGATGCCATTGTAACACATTGAAAAACTGCTAAAAGTATGCCTTTCTAGTCGATATTTGCATTTATTACCGTGTAAAAAGTCCATAAATTTCCACATTACTGTTGAGAGAGTGAAGGAATCGACTGCTACAGTATTCAATGAGTGGTCTTATACATACGGCAATTGTGTTCCATTGTCATTTCGCTCTCAGTTATTGTGGTTATGCAATATAATAACTAAAATGTTTATTACTAAACTTTAAATCCAGACTAAATTGAATAGAAATCTTTCTTTTATTATAAGTTTTCGTTTAAATTAAGAAACTAGTATATTAGGTTTTGAAAATTTTGAATATATTATTAAATATATTGTTATATTTCAGATATCCAATTGATATAAATTCGAAATCCTCAAAACTTGAAATTTCTGCTATAAATTTAGGTGGTGTCACAACAGATAAAGATAATGTTGTCAAAGACTTCAAAGCGGTGCGACTGCTGTATTTTATTGATAGCGGCAATTATACGAAATACGAAATTGCTTCATTGTGGGAGGAAAATTTCTTAAAATTAATAAATAAATTGGAATTCGAAACAATAAAAATTTCAGTACTTTCTGGGAATAGCATCGAAGAAGAATTCAATACTTTAACCGTGAATAATTTACCAAGTATAATTATTTCACAGTTTATTGTGTGTTCCTTTGCTGTCCTAACTTGCATGACTACCGACTGCGTAAGTAGCAAACCATGGATTGGTGTGGCCGGATATTTATCATCCATTTTAGGTGCTGCTACTGCGTTTGGATTGCTGTTGCTATTTGGTATGGAGTACGTAGACATGAATACGCTCGTTCCTTTAGTCGTTCTAGGTTTGATATTGTTAATCACAATAGTTTTTAATGAAAATTGTTTTAATTTCCGTTTGGTATTCTACATATTACGACGTTTTCATTTTAGGTGTTGGAATAGACGATTCCTTTGTCATGTTGTCAGCTTTTAAGAAAACTAATCCAGAAGATTGTATAGAGAAACGAATGGCTGACACATATTCAGAAGCTGCCACTTCAGTCACCATAACTACACTGACAAATGTGACATCATCATTTATTGGTCTTACACTACCGTATTCAGTATCTAGAATAATCTGTGTCTATTTGGCATTTAGTTTTGTATTTTCTTATCTATATCAGCTAATGTTTTTTGGAGGATGTCTGGTGTTAAGCGGCTACAGAGAAAGTAGAAATCTGCATGCTTTATACTGTGCACCTGTGAACTGGAATCAGACGTCAGGTAAATGTGTTTGCATTAAATTACTTTTATAAAATTAAATAACACATTTTATTTAAATTATTATCATATAATACGGACAGCCCATAGTATCGAGAAATAGATTTTAAATATAAACAAATAGTGTTGTTTGCGCAGTGGCATATTTATAATTTTCAAATTATATGCAGCTTTTAATGTAGACTGAATATGATCTAAGAATCTTGTAGTTTTAATTCATTGTTATTCATTTACATTAAAATTACTATACAGTACTTACATATTCTTGTATAATTGACGTTCTTCCTATATGCACAATTATACTAAAGTAATGAAAATGAATGTTTTGGTATGAAGAATTGAAATATCAGTGCTGCGGCTGATGCGAAGAGGTTGGACAAAAGCAATCACTCGAATAATACCTTATGAAACAGGTATATACACATATGTAGGTCTGGTTTTACCTTATTTTTGGTGCCGCCATTTTGGGTCTTTTTGGATTGGGCATGTTTTAAACTAACTTGTATGGGCAGTTAGTTTTATACGATACTAGCTGCAAGGACCCGCTTCGCTGGGTTTTTATTTGTGGGCAAAAAGTATTTTTTATTTATTTATTTAGACATACTAGGCAGAGCCCATGATGCGGAGTATACAATAATTCGTTACATGTACATTATACAAAAAAATATCATCATCCATCCATTATTACAGAGAAAATTAACATATACATAAATCAAAATAAAAATTATACAAGTATTATTATAAACATCAAAAATAAATATCTGAAAATAAATATCTGAAAGCCAAATATCCAAATATAAACATATAACATAATAACAAAAAATCATCATGGGGAGAACTATCCAACCAAAAACATCATTATATAAAGAAAAAAACATTAATTACACCGACCTATAAAAGAAAAAGGATTCAATTATCTTATCCAAAATGTGGATAGTCTCCCAACACTTCTTAGCCACAAGCACACTTTTAAAGAAAAAACAAATGCCACCTTTCGGCAAAAACGAATACTCGGATATGCAAAATAAACAACGATGTACGTCACTCCGTACAAGGGATCACTAAAACAAAATAAAAAATCAACAGAGATTACCTAAAAAATAATTTAATCTTTTGAACAAAATTAATTAAATCGAAATTACTTATATTAGTAATAAGTTCCAAAAAATTCTCCAACGGAATAATAGAAGTTCTAAACACACTTTCCCGAATTTTCTCTAACTTAGAGCATTTAGCAATCACGTGAAAAGCATCCAATAGCTGATCATTCTTACAATACATGCAAATTTCTCTGCGATAATTCTGTAAAAAATTAAGTGAATTACATCTGATTTGCATTACTGTGGCACCAATATTAAAAGAAAAATTATTATTATAAAGCGAACAGTCAAAAAAAAATTTATTTAAGTGCTTGTACCAATCATTATAAGAGCTTGCATTAACTCGTTCATTCAAATCTATAATAAAATTATCAAAATAATTTAATTTCAAAATAGAACAACTATCAGGCAAAAAGTAACGATAGTGAAGATTAAGATAATTACATTATAGTCAATCTTACCCGTTTTCACAGAATGCAAGAATTAGATCCCCCGTTTCCAGTCTAATTAGAGACATGGTCCCGATTCTATTTCTGAACGTCTCCTGTTCACGTCAAGTCAAACGAACTATTTTTAACGTTTTTGGAACGTTTACAATCGTTCTATAATCGAACCAATATTCGAATTTTATGTTCGAATTTAATTCGAACATAAAATTCTATAAAGTTCTATAATCGAACCAATATTCGAATTTTATGTTCGAATTTAATTCGAACAAATTCGAAAAATTCGAACAAAACATTCGAAATAGAAAGCCACTTTAAACCACTTTCAGCCTCATATCTCCCGCACCTTATAGCTATCGAGACGCAACCACCCCTATGCACGAATGGAGACTTGGGGTTACCACCACATACAAACACCATTCATGTGCGATGTGTAGTTTTGGCGAAAAAGTGAAATATAGGGACATACATGTCCATTTATNTGAATTTCATCTGTGATTTCATTTACGTTTAAGTATAATAGGTCTACTATTTTTACAAGTGTATGTTGATCCAGCCTACTTACCTTTTATATTTTGTACAACAATTAGTATGTTTACTGTAGAATTTTAGTATTTTGTTGTAATATATGTTTCATTTACGTAATAAATGCGAAATTACTTCATTATTGTAATGTTTGTTTAATTTTATGTATTTTATGTTTTATTGTTAATTAACTCTTCAGGAGTGTTTTGTTTGTGATTCATATTTAAAGCAACCGCATGACTATTATACGCGAGTTTTTGCAAATATGTACAACTGGCAAGTCTTAAGACCTGACGAAAGTGACATTTTAAAATATTACCTGTGATATTCGAAGTCAAAATTTGTTATATAAATTCTATGTGCAGAAATCCGTTAGTAAGTTTAAATTAATCGCACCTCCATTAAACATCATCTTTTTAAAATACAATCTGTTCCGAAATGATAGAATCACTGTAAAAAATGATGGCATTAATAAAATAATATGAAGTACAGTGCAGAACTTCATAATTAATAATTAAGCAGTCATCTTTCGGCCTGATTAGTTTAAATCGTTTCCAATTTCTGTCATTTTGTCACATAAACAATCATTTTTCTTTTTTGTACTTGTTTCTAAAGAATATTACAAAACAATAATAGAGAAATTAATTATTGATTTATAATGATATCGTGTAAAAATTATATTATCAAACATAGTAATAAAATAAAAATACAAATGAATTTTGACAATGTTCTGTAATATTGTAATATTACATTATTCACAATGTTAATAAAATATTAATTGAAAGTCTTCTCGTTTCTTAAAAATAATAGTATTGTCAAAACTTATTAATCAGTAGATATATCTCTGGTATCTATTTGATATATATGAATTAGCAAGAACGATTCACGAAATTATTACTGTTATACGAAGGTTAAATATATTTCTCATATACCTTCGGAATAAGCAACACAATTCGACTCTTAATGACTATCTTCTTAAAATGTCAGCTTTCTTCAACGAAAATGAATAGTTTTGGTCTATGTAGATACTTCTAGAAAAGAAACGATTGCTTAATTGAAACACAATAGCATTGTCTGCACTGATAATATTGATAAATAAACGTAATGCCTCTCGCTATGCATTGAGATCAGCAATGGCGATGGATTATTACGATACATGTGTTCTGTATTGTAATGTCATAACTCCTCAATTCTCAATCTACTCTTTTTATAATATATAAGCTAATAAAACAAAAATATTTACTTAATTACATTAAGTTGAATGCAAAATGATCCATTACTGAGAATTTCATAATTTTAAAGTTTTATTCTATTTCACTTTTGGATACAACTGGTTTTATACCGTCCGAATTAAATAATACACTTGTTTGATTTAATTTTAAATATACAGCTTGCTTATGATTTCATTTTTCAAATATACATATATTCATTTTTCAAATATACATATATCGTCTATATATACATATAGTGTTACTGTAGCTATTTCATTTTAATAAACGCATTGCAGGAGCTCATTAACTCTTTTTTCACCTACTTTTCTTCTACACTTTCTTACTTCCCCTTTAATCCTACACTACTTACCCCTTTCTAATTTTATTTTCTCACTAGGCAATTACAACGAGTAGTCCTAGTTTTCCGCTCCTATTCTGCAAAAGGTATATCCTGTCAACATCATATTAAATCTAAATTATATAATAATGAATGTATTCCTATATGAATAAGTGTAATTACAGTCAAATTTTATAAAATATACATCGTTAAGATAATATCTTTAATTGGAAATAATTACACGAAAAAATAAAGTAATAACTATTAGTTTTTTCATCCATTAACGGAATTACAATTTATTCTCCAATTATTTTCAGTAATTGTTCATTATTACATACATTTAAATTGATGTGATTTGATAAACCTATCGTTATAAATTTAATACAGGATCTTTGTGTTGCTCAGTAGTTTTAATAATAAAAACATTGCAAAAAATCGATAAATAAAGAAGTTAAAACTTAAAATAAATCGTAAAAAATTTTTATGGCAGATAAATGTGCCCTGAAAGCAACATCTACACCAGAAAAAAGATTTGTCCGCGTTAATTTGTGCGTGGTAAATTACATTCTTTTATGTGACATTTGGAACTATAATCAAACATTCAGTTAATGAAAGAATACTTTTGCAGTATCCTGTGAGGAAATTTTGTACTTGCGAATTATTTTGTCATTTTTAATACAAATATAATTCGTTTTTTTATTATTGTTTATATTACACTACATAAAACTAATCAAATAATATATTGCTATTATATGACTCTCCATTACGCTAGCGATAAAACTATTGATAAACAGTATTTCGATACAGGTTTGTTCCTAATTAAAAAAGTAGGCAATTTTAAAATGTAATTATTTACTACACACAATATATCGTGTATAAAGCTATTTCTAGTATATAAATATTGATTTTAAATCAAATGTACCCGCGATTAAAATAACTTGTCGTTTACTATGCGATTAAAATAACAGTCCTAGTAAGTTGTTTACTATGCGATTAAAATAACAGTCCTAGTATAATAGTTTTCAATTTATCGATTTTCTTTGGGGTTTTCTTGTATGAAAACACGCAAAAATACTTTCTAATATCTTTTTATGACTGTGTGTTGGCTTTTCGTTAGGAGACATGAATAATTTTCTGATTCTCTCTCTGATAATTTTGTCCAATTTATCTGTTTTTGCCTTTTCTAACGGTAAGATAAATAATTTTAACATTCCATAATAGAATTCTTATATGTTTTAATTTATTAATTAACTAATTATTGGGTAAAATGAATGTTATTCTCTCAGTTATTCAGTAATCGAATATAAAAAGGTGTTGTGTAAATAATTCTAGATTCATATGAGAAAAAAATGTTTTGTAATGAACTCAAAGATTTTTAAACGTCGAAGAATGAAAAAATTAGGGTATTTTTTCTGTATTTATAAATGTTAGTGTGTGTTTGTAAGTGGTGGAAGAACAAGATATTGTTTACCTAATTTGAAGCA